ATGAAGGTTAAGAAAACTTAGACAAGATTTTGTCATCTAATGAAGACTAATCTAGTAATTTTATATTGAAAATAATGTGATTACCGTTCATGTTTTAGTAACACATTTGAAATCTATCTGATAATAGTACATTTTGAGTACATTTTAATAGGAATATTTTAAAGTAGTGAAAATCGTAATTTTGTCGTTAGGTCAATAAACTTATGATGACATTTATTAGTGAATATTATTACAAAGGTGAATGTGATTAAAGCTCATAGAGAAGTAACCAAAATTGAGAAAATTAACTTATTTAGGAATAAAATAATGACATTAGAAAACAAGTTGAAACCATCATCGTTGAAATGATTCATGTGATAAAAGGTCATACAGTAAGTGTAAAAAGAAATAAGAATATTATCGGTTTCATGAATCCAAAAAGCAAGAATTTCATATTCTTGTTTTATATTGAAAGTACCTGAAACCAGAACTATGCGTACGTAAGAAGTACGTCTGATCGTAAACTAAGCCTCCATTGTTATTCATAACTACTGATTATATCACCGTATTCATTTGCACACCTCATCAACTATTTATGACTGGTACAATCACATTGTACCAGTTAAATATTCCCTTAAAATATTCAAAAATAAAAAATAATTTAGGAAACAATCGTTTTCATTAACTTCATCATCACACTATACAGTTATTAGTCCATAATTTTAATATTTTATAAAGTCCAAAAATAAAGCATGACATTTATGAATTTGACAATGTAATATGTTAACAATAGTTAACGTTTACATCTGTAACGATATATATGATTACAAATTAAAAAGGTCATTCACTAAAGGTCGGGATGATTTGCAGTAAAGTGTTCAGTCACAATAAGTGACTAAGCATTATAGGAAAATTGAAAATGCAAAAAAATTGGTGTCAATGAAATACATAGTACAAGAATTGAATCTTGTCAATTGACATAATAATAATAATAATAATAATAATAATAATAATAATAATAATAATAATAATAATAATAATAATAATAATAATAATAATAAGGAAAATAAATAGGAATAACATTTTAAATGTTCATTGATACAGTTGACCTTATTCATATTTATACGTTTAAAGTCGATAGATATTTGTTGAGTCAGTCAGACGACGTAGGCTTGTTCATTTACACTTCATGAAACTGATATTTCAAATGCTTGTCAAAAATGGTTACATTCATAATGTCTAGATAATTCAGGTTTCATATTACGGCGGTCAACAATATTCACACCTGACTGATTAAACAAACCAGTTTTTATTACGACCAAAAAATTAATTTTAAAATACAGAACTTCACCTGAATTATACATATTGCAACCAGTAATTTATCATGATGATTTATTGATATGTTGATTTCTTTTTCCCATTAACACACTGTGTGTTACAAAGAACCTATGCACACACTTTGGTGATAATTTGTTTATTAATTTGGTATTAAATATTTGACTACCGACCTCATTCAGTAATCACTATTATCAAATATTCAAACCGGTTTACAGATGCTTTTTCCCAAAAACTTTCTTTTACTGAGATACATATAATTATTCGTGTTCAGATAACTAACGACTTCAATTCAAGGTATACTTGATCGGAAAACAAAAATTGATCCCAATACACATTCACTAACAGTAGGATTGCACGGTAATGCAATTAAGTTGGTGTCTTTTTCTTCAAAAGTCTAAATTTTTTTCAAGACTAAGATTACACAAAAAAATTAATTCATTATCATTAAACTTCAAATGTAAAAAATTAAAATTCTGACATCCAATCACAGCTTCAGATGCGATTTCGATTTCAACTAATCAGATTACAAAGATGAACAGTTTACGACCAATCACAAAATTATTAAAGGTAACAAAATGTTTGTTCATTATCACTTGAGCACACACTTGCAAAACAAGTCCACCAATCAACGATACCTAAATTTTTCATTCACACCCCACAATTTTTTTAAAAAGGGTGGTAGGGAATCATATAGGCCGGTCACTTAATGTCAACCTTCGTTTTAATTGGTTAGTTATGTTTTGTCGAATTGTTATAAAACATCAGTACTGTGGAGGAGAGTAACGTGCCGAATACAAGCGCTGTTGTTTCTCACGTAACAGAAATGGAGGAATTACTGTCAAACTATTCGTTCTAATCTTGACGAATATTCGTAGAAATGGAGGAAGTCTTTTTGACCACCTTGTTTCTCGTTGCGTTCCCATCGGTTGAAGCGTTGAAGTCCGCTATCACAAATTATGGAAGATCAACTTACTGTCATTATGTAGTTCGAGATTCGCATTTGTGCAGAGATGAAAACTCGTATATTGAATTTGTGTGCTGGAGGCATGGCCGTATAACATCTAGCGGTTCGTCACAGCGGATCAGACGGAGGAGGTTATTTTATTAATGTTATTAACATTTTTTGTCATGAAGGGCTTCCATGAACACTCAATGTCCGGCCCTCATGTATTGCAAAATTATCGACGGCTACTGGACTGTTGTACGTAGGGATGTGCATCACAATCACGGGTGCAATTCCCTGAGGTACCAAGGTAATTCATGGGTGCGCAGGCTAACGGAGGCCCAGCTTGAAAGTGTGCGACCGCTGCTAATATCTGGTACTGCTTCATTCCACATTAAGAATTATGCTTACCATTCTTATGGTAAACTTCTGAATGATCAAGATATTTATAATATGCGGTACAAAGTGTTTTCACAGGCGAGCCTTCCTGGTAAGCCATTTGCCAATTTATAATGTAAACGACAGGTGATTACGGAAAATTGAAAACTCACATAACATCTTTGGGTGGGATTTGCGAATACGAATTAGACGATGAGAATTGTCTATCGTACTTTTTCTTCACGACTGGTGATCAAAAGATTTTTGCAGATCGTTTCGCTGTTATTGGTTTGGACGGGACATACAAGACGAATAACGAGAACATCTATTTATATCAGGTCGTAGCCCTTTATATGAATTTTAAGGCAATACTCGTTTGTATTGCATTTATAAGTCGCGAAACATCGACTTTGATTTCTCGATTCCTGTCGTTCTTCCAACGGCCAACCAACAGACGACAAGTGGTATGCATTGTGACAGACGATTCACCTGCAATAGCTGCTGCCATGCAAGTGTATCCCAATGCTCACCATATCTTGTGTCGCGTCCACCTTGTTCGCAATGTTATAAAGAGGGTAAGTGTTTCGTTCATTAACATTAGCTCAGTAACCTTAATTGTAGAGGGTACGATCAGAAGTGATACAACTATTTTTTCGCCTGATGTTTACTCAAACGGTTGAAAGGTAAATCAAAAGCAACAGAACATTATTTTGTAGTTTTAACAGTGTATTATCCTTGATCGAAATATCGGACGGAACGTTTGCCCGATATGTCAGAGACCACCTCTTACCGAGAAAACACAAATGGTCTACAGCTTTTCGACCATTAGCAACACTACTTCAACTTAATAATACGAACTTTGTTGAGACAAGTCATCGAATTTTGAAGATGCATCAACTGAGTCGAAAAACACTTGTGCTGAGATCTATTTTTAGTGTGCTACTTCGCATTGGATATTGGATAGAAGCAAGATTACAGAAATATACATCAGATTGCCGGATAAAAGCCAACATCGGTCAAGAGCCAGCAATGCGTGGACTTCAGGAACGACTGACACCAGCTGCATGTCAATTACTGAAGCGACACCTGCGCACTCCTATAACGGAGTTTGTAATGTCTGTTGACTTATTTACGGCTGTGGACGCAACGGGTACTTACAATGTACACCGCGATTCCATGCGCCGCTCCTGTTCATTTTCCATTGAAAACGGTTTGCCATGTCGGCACATATTGGCTTACTCTACACACAGTATTACTGATGTGAACGTACAGTCAATTTGTGATAGATGGTTACACTCTGATACTTATCTGACTCATATTGCAGTTGAGAATTATTTCCCAATGCGATTGAGCCAGCCGAGCTTGAAGAATACAGTGATTGCGTTAGTCAGGCGACTGTCTGAGGAACAATGCAGTTCACTTTATAGACAACTTTATCAAGAACTTCACGGTAGACTACCACCAACGCCGTTGAACTTACAGGCAGAACCGCAGTTGTACACTGGAACAAGAACCTCGACTCACGTTGCAACGCCGTTGATGCACCGAGGAAACGTTGATTTGGATGAAACGTTAAGTAACGACGAGGATGAAGTAGTTTCTATAAACTCTGAAGAGTTAACGGAACGGGACATCCAAAATGAAGAAGAAGAAGAGAACCGTTTGTGTGACATCTGTAATCTTGCACAGCCGCCGTGTGAAACTGGTGATGCAGTGGGTTGGGTTTTCTGTCCTTGTGAAGCAATGTTTCAGTTGCTTTTTCACTCAACTATCTTTTAATGTGATACATATCTGTATTTGTGGCGAGATAACTAACGACTTCAATTAATGGTTGACATTAAATCACTTGATCGGAAAACAAAAATTTATCCCAATACACCATACAATTTTTTAGAAATGGGTGGTAGGTATTCTTAATTTCCGTGGCTTTAATGTCATCCTAAATAACCATTAATCTTAATGTAACATTGATTGGTTAATTGAATAAACTCATTAAGCAGCGATTGATAACCAATGGCCATGTTTGTCTGGTACTCAATACTGATCGAATTCTATCGAGTAAGATTAAATGTAGACACGTTGGTTACTACTGTGTGATTAATCATCGGTAAATATGTTAGTCTTGCAGGAAATCAGTCACTGTCCGCAGAATTCGATCGGTACTGAGTACCAAACAAACATGGCCATTGGTTATCAATCGCTGCTCAGTCAGTTTATTCAATTAACCAATCAATGTTACATTTAGAATAATGGTTATTCATGTGTTTTTTCCCATATGGTTGTATTATACTATAAATATTGTTTATTTTAACGAAGGATATGTCAAAATATTTTCCGTCTTTGACTTATTATTTATTTATAGGGTTCTGGATGGATGTTGGACAACCGAATGATTTTCTCAAAGGTACAAGTTTGTATCTAAATTACTTGAAACAATCAGATCATTCGAAAGAACTAGCAACTGGATCTAATATTCATGGAAATGTTTTAATCGTAAGTTATATGCTTTTTATTATGTTCTTAGGATGAAATTTTTACTGTGGCATGAAAGGTTTGTGCAGTGTTTTTAGCCAAATGTGGTTTACATGATGAACTAACTTCATTTAGAAAGTCATCGAAAAATATAGAGCACTAGACATGTGTTTCGCATTTAGTATAGAACTCAGTGTGCAACCATGATCATTCTACAGACTGAAGCGTCGACCTCCCGGCCTATAACAGTCCACGTTTCTGAATTTCTATTTCTTTACGTTTATTGACTAAAGATACAGTGGCAGCTTAGTAGTTCGACCGGAATCATTCAAAAAAGAGTTTTCTAATAACTGACATTTAGAATCTCTAAATAACTCCAGAGTCCAAATCCAATTCCTTTCACTTCAAATGCCAACGCGTTATTCACTTAGCTACTGGGTTCAAATAGCCACTCACTCGTGAAATGGTTTTGAATTTGAATTTAATTTGTAACGATTCGAATTATTCCGTTGTTAATGTCCTGACTGAACTTTGATCAGCCTTAGTTAAACCAAGACTGATGCCCGTTTCCCAAATGAGTTGCTATTTTGGACTCAGTAGCTAAGTGAATAACATGGCGTTTGAAGCGAAAGTAACTGGATGTGAATCCCGAAATGAACACTAACTCTAGAATGAAGGCATATTCTGCTGACAAGTCCGAAATAGGATGAAACATACATCCTGAATTATACTGTTAGTTAAATTCTATCTATTTTGTATTAGGCCAATTATTTAACCGTTTATTTCTTTATAAGTAGCATTCGAAAATTAGTCTTTCGTTTTTAAAAAATGAATCGAGATCAAAATTCTTGTTTCTTCTCTCAGTTCCTTATAGCGTAGAGTGTAGCAAACTGTAATGATACATACTTGTACTAGGCCTTACGTTGTTGATAATGTTTTGTGGTTTTTCCTGCAGCCTTAATTTTTTCACTTTCATTATTTTTCTAGCATCCAACTGCTTCAGTTTCACCTACTTGTGTTCTTGGACCCAGTGTTGTTATTGGGCCAGAGTGTATAGTTGAAGATGGAGTAAGAATTCGTAATTCCACCTTACTTCAAGGGAGTATTATTCGTTCTCATTCTTGGCTAGAAACTTGTATTATTGGTTGGCGATGTACTGTTGGGCAGTGGGTAAGTCTGTTGATTTTACTTTGTATTCCTTTGAGAATGTCATCACTGATGGGATATATACACATTGTTATGGCTTTAAGTTGCGGTCGATTTCTACCCTGTGCTAATTCTTGTGTCCTTGACTGGAAAAATTAGAGAGCAGTGTACTTATCGATCGATTACAGTGACACGTAAACACGTACGGACGGCCTAGAGTCTCGATTGGTCCCACTTCCCTGTCTAGCCCAGTTAGTTGAGTCCAGAACACAAGTCACAGCCTCGGAGATATGAATCATTATATTTCAAACATACTTTGTTTATATACCAATCAAGCATACCACATCGTACCATAAAATAGAAAACAACATTTTGTACAATATTCAACAAGTGAACAGATATCGACCAATAGGAAATATCCATTTAAAGTCCAAGGACACCATCGGACTTAACATGATAATTATTAGTCTATTCCTCCGCATCCACAACACACATTTATTCTAAGTTATAATACTGCATGGTTTTAAACGTGTAATAAATTGTTTACGAGTATATCTTTGATAGATTTCACATTATATATAACCAAATTAAAGCCTTAGAAATATGTTATTTTTCGTTTGTCGTTGTCTGTTAACCAAGAGACCACTGGATATTTCTAATTGAGGTTTATAGGAAAGTTTAAAACTCAGTTGTCATAACAATGTAAAAAATCATTTTTCGTTGTTAACATTACGTCCTTCTTTGTCTTAGTACACTTTTCCCTCAAATACCCTAGTTCGGCTGAAAGTTGAGGAAGCCTGCTGTCTCTCTTTCGAAATGCTCTTATGCGGCCATGCATTTATGGTCTTATGTGGTCTTATGTTCTACACGCAGCAGGTTTGTTTTACAAAAATGATAGAACAAAAAACGAATGTTCAGCACTTAAACCAGATTGGAAGATACAGAGGTTTCACCTGGAAGAATTGAAAAACCTTGATTCCAAACCATCGGTATATATAATCTCCAGGATCCTAAGGGAACGAATGGCATGTTAACCTGTTTTTGGTCGTCAGCTATCACGAAAAAGGACTTCTTGATGTTGCCTCACTAGTTTGTGGATTGACCTTTAGGTGTGTGGAACATGCATTTCAACTCGGGCTCCCATTCAGCATCACAAATTTTCGTTTGGTGTATACTATATTCTTGGTGCTCAGTTGTGCCAGATTTCATGTGAATTAAATAAATAAATGATGACTGACGATTGCGCTTCATTTAAATTGAGACAAATACAAACTAGAATGATTTGAAAGCAAAATATATTCTAGCCAATCCGTACAACAATGTTTTGTACAATAAATAATGAAAATACAAGATATCAAATAGAATTTCCGTGCGAAATGCCTAGTGTCTTCTAGATCCATCTACTACTGCTGATTGAATGCGAATAGACTCATCATCATATTCAGATTTGGGCCTTTATTAAACCTCCTATCATTAGGATTCTGTCATGCTAATAACTAGCAATTAATGCGAAACTTTATACTTCAAACAGTTAACCACCCGTTTGTTCCATCGTTAATGAAACTAGTTTGGAATTTGATTTTTTCAGCACCACACTTTCCAAGATCAGCTTCACTTTAAAATACTCAACATATGTAGTATACTGTCTGTAATTAATATAGGACTGGAATTGTAGCATTCTTTTATCTCAGACATTCTTTGGTCAGTAGAGCGATGGTTCAATAGTTAAGGCGTCCGAATTTCAGCTACAAAATCATAGGTTCAAACCTCTTTTTACATACTTCAGTCTGAGCAACCGCACAGTACTACCAGCTCTTACACCTAAAATGTGGCTTCAAGCCATTGCATGAATCTGTAACGGATAAATGAGTTCATGAAATGTTATTTGATTAATATCAATTCATATTCACACCATCAATGTATTCTGATTTATTATTACTTTTAGGTAAGAATGGATAATGTCACCGTCTTAGGTGAAGATGTCATTGTATCTGATGAATTATTTGTAAATGGTGCACGTGTATTACCACACAAAAGCATTGCCCAATCAGTTGTTGAACCACAAATTATTATGTAACATGCCTGGTATGGAAACTCTTGTAAAGTGCTGTGATCAAAACTTTTTCTTTCTCCCCATACTCCTACTATTCTTATGATCAGTACTAATCTATCGCCTTTTTATTTCAACAACGTGTTTTCCACATAGGAATATTACCGTTTTTTTTATGTTCCACTGACTGCTGTCATAATTGTTATTTTGTTTAATTTATTTTTTGTTCATTTAAAACATTTTACTAAAAGTAAATCCAACCAAGTTCTAGCTCAATGAAATATCACTTCCCGCTTTTTTTGGTTATTCTTATTACTAATGTAGGAAACAAAATTTATATTTGCTATCCAGTGCTTTCCTTTATGTTGTTAAAGGTTGATATGATTTCGTTTGTTTTAATCAGTTGTTGAATTTAATATTGTTGGATGGTTTGCTTTTTGTATTTTTTTTAAAAATTTCTATATTTAAATATATGCATTATTTGGATTGGAATTCGTTCAGTAATATGAATTTTATCCTTAGTCAACTTGTTATCTTCATATTTGGCAAATTAAACTTTCTAGGATTTTTGTACGTAATGTTTATTTTAGTTCATTCCTTTTAGATACTTGGCTTTTGCTTAGTCAGAGGAGAACATTAGCTTAATTTTTTACAACGACTTAATTGAGCCTGCCACTCCGCTTTAAGCATAAGTTACTGAACAGGGATCTCTGAGCAACTCCTTCCTAGGCTCTTGTTTGCAGTTGTTACCAAGTGACATTCGTCGTCTTAATGTCTGCCCTCGACTTCCGGCGCTATTTTTGGTTTACCTCTTCTTTTGCCCAGGGGACTATGCTGGGGCTTGTCCCGTGATGGTTTCCGCAAAGTTTGTTCCATCCACCCAGTGTTTTCTAATTTGCTTCTCAGCTGGCAGCTTATTGGTTTTTGCCCGAAGCTACTGTTTGTTCGAACCCCATATAAAGAAGGGGTATTGGAGATAGGGTTTGCAATCTCATCTCGTAAAAAAATCTCACTACAAAATTGGTAACCGGAAAAGCCAACCAAACTCTACTCGGAGTTGGACAGACCTTCGCTACAAGATAATGTCGAAGAACTGCTTTTTGCACTCACGTACTTTTTAACTCATAACATTACACGGTAGGATCACTAGATAGATCACAACACTAGACCACACAGTAGGCACAGACACAATGTTCCACCAAGGACTGAGGAGAAAATGGCCCAGACACTAGTTTATTAACACAAGTACAAGCGGCAAAACAGTGAAATCCACGGTAGGTATCACAGTCAGATACAAAATGATCATTTATATTCCTATGGCTGCATGTCTGCCTCCGCTCATTGACCAACCACACTGTTAATTCTATCGAAGCGTCGAAGTAACCCCGATTGAGATACGCGCGAAATCGAAGTCCCAAAACAACGATTTGTCTACAAAAGCGGTTCTTTATTAAATAATACACAAAATTTAGTTACAAACCTCAACTTGTGAGGTGTCTAGGCGTTTAAACGCGTCGTTCAAGAATGAAAATAGCAAAAGCTTCCTGTAAGAGTAACATAAAGAATGATTACAACATACGATAGTCCAAAGACAGCCGATAGCTGTGTCTAAATTTGGTAACAGTTTATGAACAACCGAAACTCGAACCAAGAGCAAACAATATGGAAACTGATGCATTCAAACAAATGCACAAAACTGTGGATAACCTTTACAGTAATTATATTAAAGTGATTATAATGATAAATACAGTTATAAGTAAAATAAACATTAAAGATATATGTGAACATTCCAGAATGTTACAGTACAACTTGAGTTACAACATAAGTGTGAAAATTGTTGGGTATACAGCTGCCTACTGAATGTAAATAAGTAGTATAAAACAACATACAAAAGAGTATAAAAGGAACATGTAGGAACAATGTAAAACAAACTTAACACCGCCCCCCAAAGACAGCATGTCTTTCCTTACTTTCGCTGATTAGGTATTAACGTAAAAACATTCAGAGGTGACAATGGTACGATTTACTCTAGCCACAGTCACTCTGAAAAGTCTCTCTATCCTCTACTTTTCGGTCATCAGCTCCTTCTAATAAACAAATTTTACATATGCCTCTAATAATTGTACCCTTCCACGTTCTGATCTTCACTTGGTTCCATAGACCATCTCCTCCTGGGTCAAAACTTACCACGAGGCGTTTAGACCAGTTATTTCGTGCATAAGTGTCCTCAATAATCAAGACTGGACCGAGAACTTGTAAATCTCGTCTTCCTTGTGTCCATTTTGTTCGCGTCTGTAAGAGTGGTCTATCATTAGGTATTCTTTCTGCTTCAGTCAAACAGGTGGTGAGTGTCTCGTAGGACATAGATACTGCGCTCAAAAGTCTGCGTATGCTTCCTATTAATCTTTCCCATACTCGATGATGATTTGCGTAAGGAGTGTTATGGTGCCATTCTATGTTCCGGTGAGTCATTTCTTTGGCTACCCTACTATCCTTAAAGTCTGGTAATGGATGTTGTATCTGCTTGTCTAACCCAACTAAAGGAGACATGGATACAGTTGTCTTAAACTTCTTATCATCAGCAGCATACTGAATAAAACAATCATCTTTCTGATTCTCTGTTTCATGCTTGATGTCAATAGAACTTTCAGCAGACGCCACTACAGGAGATACAAGTTTCGTATTTGCAGAGAACTGAGTTGTTGTTGCTTTGCAACTAATTGATGACTCGTGTAGTAGTATCACAGACTTAGCACTATCGTTCACGTCAGAAACACTAGGGAGATCTGTTTCGGCAGAGAACATAACAGATGTTTTCGATGACATTAACTCGCCGCTATCTGTTGGAAGAATTTTGTCTGGAGGAGAAATACATCTAAGGTCAATATTCACTACTGTATCGACGTGACTATCGTTGATAGTTTTTAGAAGGTACTCATCGTCAACAGCTGGTAATGAAATAACTTGTTCTAAATCCATTAAATTCTCGTCTGTCGCTTTAGATACAGAATCAAAGGTGTCTATAAGTCGGTTACTTCTTGAATCAGGTGGAGTGTTAAATCCAGAAGAACGAACTGACGGTAAGCCTTGATGAACCCTGGAATCTTCAGTCTCAACAGCGGCTGCTGCTACTATGAGTGAGCGTACATCATCATTATCGACTAAGAGTGCCACATCAGGAGAGTGCTTAAGGCATAAACCAGGATCATCTATGAACGGCAACAAACGATGTGAAGAGTTTTCAGGCGCTACTGTGGTCAAAGTAAGGGGCGGCGTGGGTCCATCCTCGATAGAACTCTTTGCTTCTAAACAGTTTATGAAGACTGAAGTTTTATTAGGTTGACCCGTTGGTCCAAATAAAGCCCACCCTAACATGGTTAGTGAAGCATAGGGTTGTTTAGGTTTTCCGATACGCTGATCGAGTACCCAGTGGGCCTCAGGAACGTCAACACCAAGTAACAAACCAACCTTGTCACAGGCTATGGAGGGTAGTTGTACACCTTTCAAGTGTTTCCATCTTTCTTGGAAGTCCGTTGGTGGGATTTCTGCTCTTTTAATAGGTAGGTTATCTATAGTATATGCACCTTCGATTTTTATTCGGTTGGTCTTATCTAAAGACTCAATTTCGAAATTGGTAAGTTCAGCGTTCTGAGATGACGCTCCAATTACTGAAGATATGTTTAATCTTGTCCCTGCACCAGAAATTCCTACCTGCTTTGCTACGTCACTAAGCAGTAATGTCGAATCCGAGCCATTATCTAACAGTGCATAGGTATCCACATAACCTGTGGGACCATGTAGTCTGACTGGAACAAAGCCTAAATACGTCCTAGTAGTATGAGTAGAGTTACAATATGCTCGTTTAACATCAGGTTCTGTGTTGTGAAGAATTCTATGATGGCGTCGCTTGCATCCATCAATTTCACACAACACGGGCTGTCTGCATTCTGTGACTCGATGATTGGGTTTTAAGCAATTAAAGCAAAGTTTAAACTTCTTTAACAATTCTACCTTTTCGTTGTGACTCACTGACAACAGCTGAGGGCAGGATGCGACTTCGTGGGCATCGGAGCAAATTACACAATGGACTGTCCCTTTAATCAACGAAGTATGGATCTTAGCTCTTATGGAAGCCGACCGGTTGTTCGATATCGTTTGAGCTTTATAGCTTCCGCTTGCTAACCGTCCGTATGTGTTTGTGGCGATTGACACCTTCTTTTCTAAGAATTGCAATAAATCATCAAAATTGGGCTCTAGCCCCTTTCTTAAAATATCGTCCGCGGCCTCCGCCCATTTAAACTGCATACTACGTGGTAGCTGTTTCACTATTCGTTTTATGTTGGTCGAACAATTCAGATCAGTATTCCTGCCCATCTGTGACAAGGCTATCTTACAATTAGTCATGAGTCTTGTCAGTTTCTGTAGGCCAGTTATGTCGTCTTGATTCAATGGTGATCCACTTAAGAGTTCTGTTAAGAAGGCTTCTACGATGTCGTGTGGTCTGCCGAACCGTTCATGTAGAAGCTTAATTGCCTCAGTATAACCTTCCTTTTCTGGTAATAAAACACAGTGTTCTATAGCATCCTTTGCTATACCTTCGCAATAGTGTATCAAGTACATTAATTTCTGAGTGTCATCATTTACTCTGTCAGCTATGTTAACCTTGAATCCCTTCATGAACGTCCAAAATTTCAGAGGGCTCCCGTCAAATTTCATGATTTCTATCTTCGGTAAGCTTACTGACATACATAACGCCTTGACACTATCTACCTGTGCTTTGAATTGCATTTCATCGCTCGAAAGTACATTGGTGTATCGGTGACTTGCCGTAACTACTGAAGTTTTATCCTCGGATCGAGACCCCGACAACTCGGTAGTCTCCCTAGGTCTTCTCACTTTGGTTGAAGAGTTCGGAGTTAGTTCTAGCAATCGCTTGCGTAGTTGGAGTTCTCTAATCTCCAGCTCAATCTTTTCTACTTCCCTTTCCCTAGAGTCCACTTCGTCTTCTACACTGTATCTAGTCTCTATATAGTTGTCTCCTACCGAGCAACTGTCTTTGGGGTTAGGTTTAACAATATCAAAGGCAAGATTTAAAGGAATAGGTGAGTTCACCTTAGAAACTGAAGGAATAATATTTTCAGCACTGGAATTGTCTGTGTCTTGGGAACTGTCATCGTTGTACTTCATTCTTCTCGTTCTAGTCATCGTTGGGATGAATGAACCAAACAGGATTCCGACCAAATTCGTTACAGCAAGTATTCCCTCCAATTAGGACCAGAGTTCAGAACTGTATCCACACCAAATGAGACCAAAGTTGAGAACTGTTAATTCTATCGAAGCGTCGAAGTAACCCCGATTGAGATACGCGCGAAATCGAAGTCCCAAAACAACGATTTGTCTACAAAAGCGGTTCTTTATTAAATAATACACAAAATTTAGTTACAAACCTCAACTTGTGAGGTGTCTAGGCGTTTAAACGCGTCGTTCAAGAATGAAAATAGCAAAAGCTTCCTGTAAGAGTAACATAAAGAATGATTACAACATACGATAGTCCAAAGACAGCCGATAGCTGTGTCTAAATTTGGTAACAGTTTATGAACAACCGAAACTCGAACCAAGAGCAAACAATATGGAAACTGATGCATTCAAACAAATGCACAAAACTGTGGATAACCTTTACAGTAATTATATTAAAGTGATTATAATGATAAATACAGTTATAAGTAAAATAAACATTAAAGATATATGTGAACATTCCAGAATGTTACAGTACAACTTGAGTTACAACATAAGTGTGAAAATTGTTGGGTATACAGCTGCCTACTGAATGTAAATAAGTAGTATAAAACAACATACAAAAGAGTATAAAGGGAACATGTAGGAACAATGTAAAACAAACTTAACACACACCTTACTGCCATTGGGTTATGGGTTGGAATCCAGCACTATTTGTGTCAGTCTAGATAGTCGATTAATACGAAACAACACTAAAATTCAATGCGAAGTACGTGCACTTATATGTCATTGCTCCATTTTGTTAGAATTTGGTCAAACATATAAAATCCATGTTTTGCCTAACTCAATAAATGATGCTTGTGGTCACCTGATGCTCAGTGATTACGTAGTGTGTGCTACTGATGTCGACAGTTGTATGTATCACCAGTTGGAAGTGAAATTCCTGGTGGCAGAAGATTAAGATGATCGAAGGACAGAGAATGATTGGCATGTAAAGGAAGAAACAATTAAGTTTGAAACGATTGATTGACATTTTGTGGATGATGTATTTACTGTATGGTTCTCAGAATTTAGTAATATATTCTGTAATATTGTATTAAAATACATTCTATTGTCCACAGTGGTATTCTCGTCCACTATAAATGTGGTGTACATTCAGATCTATCATTAATGTGCTTGAAGTAGTAACATAGTTTATGGGTTAACATTTAGTTTTGTTCAGTTTGTTTTCGATGTGGTGGCGATGGCAAGAAATAAGTATCACCAACTTATTAAAGTTTTGTTTTCTTTTGATTGGAACTTTTATACTGTCTGTGTTGGCTAGTGATTGTCAGCACAATTTCCAATTCTCATAAGTTATTTAGATTATTGACTGACTTGAGCAAAAAATAAATTTGTGGCTCTATAGATAAAATATTCTGATTTCGAATTTCCACAGATTTCTTCTAGTTGTATTCAGTCGTTACAGGGTCTATCCAGAACATAATGATGAAACAATACCTGATATATGTAAAGCAGGTTAAAAACTAGTTATTAGACTTATGATAATGATTGGTCATGAATGAAAATTACTCAGAACAATGAGGTTAGACTTCCTCTTATTGCATCACATGTCAATCATATAATTGTCTTGTATTTCTTATTTTTTTTGTCATACATTTTCATTTGCAGTCATTTTAACATATCGCTCTAGTATAACATGAGAACCTTTACGAGTTCAAAATAAATTTACTGTGTACATGGTCGGTCCTCAGCAATGCGCATCCACGAACCTACGCGATTTCCAGTGAAAAGTCGTGGTCAGTGGCGTTCGACCGTGCTGGTTATGGGAGTTACCCACTAAAGACAATGGGAGATGGTCGCGTAAAATTGTGGGTTGATTGAAGTTAGACATTAACACTGTTGGTTGCTGGCTCAGTGGTCTAGAATTTAGGCGTTCACGCGTGAGACCAAATGTCCTGGGCTCGAATCCCACGTTCGGGTTCATGGATGTGCACTGCTGAAGAGTCCTATACTTGAACAAAATAGTCGCCCAGCGCTTCCAGGTTCTCAGTGGTGGTCTAACACTGATTGGTTCGTGATCTCAACTAAAACTCAATCTCCACAACCCCATACTGATAATTATAAATTGGGTTAGTCCAATGGACATTTTGTTTGTTGGTGAAACTCATTAACGTCAGGATTTCTTATGAATATTTATATTCTAATAGCGTGAAATGTAATTCTTTTGAACAGATCTGGTTTGACTTAATGGTATTTCATGGACAATTCGAAAAGCAGAAGTTACTCTTGACCAGATCAAGTGAAAATGTTTAGTTTTTGGATTTCATTTCATTGATGTATAAATACATTACTGTGATCATGATGCATTTGAATTACCGAAAATTTATGAGTCTTGAGGTTTAGTGTTTTTTGATGACTATAACTAAAGGAAATGGTCCTTTAGTAATGAAGTGTCTCCTATTAATCGATCGTTTTCCCTACCACAAGTACCACCTGAAAATGGTGGTCGAACTTGCTTTTTTTGATGACAGTTGAGCTACATTGGCTGGAACATTTGTTCCTTGGGATCGTACCATCCCAGCGAGATCAGTTGGAGAAATAGAGATCAAGATATTTTTCTTGAATTATTTAATGCTAAACACTTAAAATTAGTAGACTTCAAGTTAGTTACAGCATAATCCCTTTTACAATGTGAGTTTTCACGAAAACAGTGATCAATGTCTTTTGGGTTTGAAAGTATTTGAATTAATTATTTTTGTCTTTTCACTTTTGTTTCTTTGAATAAATGTCAGTTATTGTGAATTTTCAGTAAATTTATGAACCCGACTTTAGCATAGGTTGACTTATTATCCACAAACAGCTTAAGAACCCGAGTATTTATTGATAGCTTTGATGATCCAAATCATACTCAATTTTTAAATTTCATTTAAAAATTTTTAATGTGTGATTTTTATCAAAAGAGAAATGACTACTTCTATTCAAGAACTTACTAGGGAGGTTACTGTTAGGTTTACTTAGAATTTATTCGATAGCTCTGTGATAATATTTCACAATTTGTAACTGGTTTATGAGCGTTTGAACCACACAGGGAACACCAATTCCGTAAGAATTCCAGATATCTTTTGCTACTGAGTTCCAAATAGCATGGAACCTAGCCCCGAGTTTTCCTGTTGACTATATCTAACTATCCACCATTTCAACATGGTGCACATCTTGTCAAGTCGCTTAGATTAGTAGTCACATTCTACTTTGATCGATAGTATTTGATATGTATTAAGGGACCAGAGAAATCTAACATTGGTCACTACTCAGTAAAAGGTCAGTCGTAAGTTATTTTCTCATGTAATTTAGACCTATTTCTGAATATATAGGTATGTTTCTGTGAATGATTTCTTCAAATGAATCGACTTTGTCTAGTTAGCTTAGTAAGAAACATTCATTCTGACGATATTTGAGATCAAAAGTAGAGAGTATGTGCTCAAAACAAGTAGAAGGAGCTCTTCAAAATAGATGTTCATAGAAACGAACTAGATCACAGAAACAGAAAAACCACAAACTAACAATAATTTTTAACACTATTGCAGTTCTATTGGTAAACTTTTGTAAAACAAGAACGACTAAGATGGTGAGATTATTTGGACTCACCCCATTTAGTGTGCTTCAAACTTCCACACATTTTTTATCTATAATATTTTTAATAGTTGGATTGGTGGGTCGATTATGGCTAGGCCGCCTTGGAAAACCTGGAAGCGCCAGGTTGCCGTTTCGCCCCAGAAAGGGACTCCTCAGTAGTGTGCATCCGAAATCCCGCTCGTGGGATTCCAACCCAGAACCTTTGGTCTCGAGTGAACGCTTGACCTCTAGACCACTGAACCGGCATCCAACGGTGTTAATGTTTTACTTCAACCAGCCAACGGAATCGCACCACTGTTGTGTTCTCTCAGGTCGATTATTTAACTGTAGATATTTTGCCATTCTGATATCTTCAGGACCGCTTCAAACAGTATTCAGCTTTTCATTTACTTACATGTGCTATGTTAGTTTGTCCGAAGGGCATTATTTGTGATTAGTGGTCTTTCAAATCCTGTTGGCAATTTACTCTATCGATTCACGCAAAGAGCTCAGTCAGTGTGGTGTTTGAATGAACCAATGATACCTTGGTACTGGTTGAATACTTGATTTCGAATTCTAAATACAATACATTCGTTTGTGCCTGTGTCTTCTTAGTTCAATTGCGTTAGTCCTGGAATTCCTAGTTCATACTATAATTAGAATATTATATTGGCGTCGCGATGGAACCTGCAATGGAAAAGTTGGATATTCATTTAACTCCTGAAGCTATTGAGGATTATTTGGAAAGGTTCGAAATTTGGAGCATGACCAAGAAAGATGTTAAAGGTGAGAAAATTGTGGCACATTTTCTGACATTCATTGGGAGAGAAGTGTACAGCTTATTAAAAACTTTGGCATATCCAGAAAAACCTATCTCACTGCCTTATGCAACTCTTAAAGAGCTATTGTTAAGTCATGTAAAATGCACCAGTTTTGAATGCCGTGAAAGGGCGAAGTTTCATAAGATGGTTCGTCAAAATGACCAAAAGGTTCGGGAATTCATCCTTGAATTACAGAAACAAGCTGCCAAGTGTAATTTCGGTGATCAACTTCATGTGCAATTGAGAGATCGATTAATTGCAGGAATTAACATACCGAGTTTGGAAAGAGAGCTGTTAAGAATGCCAAACTGTTCCTTTCAAGATGCTAGAACTGCATGTATTAACTACGAAGCAGTCAATGAACTTGATATCCAGTCGATGAATATTTCTAATACTTTGCTTAGTCGTCGTGATGAACTACAATCTCAGGGTCAATCAAACTTGCGTTCATTTAACAGTGATTCCTATTCTCGTGTAAATATGAAAGGTGTTTCAACGAGGAATTACAAAGCAAATCACAAAGGTGAGATGAAGTTTGGTAAATGTTTATCATGTGGAAAGTTTCATGCTCGCAATTCATGTGTATTTCGTAATGCTAAATGTTTTAAATGTGGTAAGGTAGGACACATTCAGTCAGTATGCAAAGCTACTGTCCATTTTGCTTCGAGCTGTACTAAATCTTGTAATTTAAATTTCAATAATTCGGATGTTTCTAGTGATCATTTGTCTTTGTCCACTATTTCGAAAGGTAATGCTCATATTCAGAAGCGATTATATACATCGCTTGGTTCATTTCATGATTTTTATCAAAAGAGAAATGACTACTTCTATTCAAGAACTTACTAGGGAGGTTACTGTTAGGTTTACTTAAAATTTATTCGATAGCTCTGTGATAATATTTCACAATTTGTAACTGGTTTATGAGCGTTTGAACCACACAGGGAACACCAATTCCGTA